CCCCTCCTCCTCTCTCTTTCCTCCCCCCCTCCTCCCTCCTCCTCCTCCCTCCCTCCCCCTCCCTCCCACCCTTCCCGCCCTCCCTCCTCCCTCCTCCCTCCTCCCTCCTCCCTTCCTCCTCTTCCTCCTCCTCCTTCTCTCTCTCCTTTCTCCTCCTCCTCCTCCTCCTCCCGCAACGACGGCGGCGGTGACGACGACGGCGGCGGCGGCGACGACCCCGGCAAAGAAGGGGGGGCTAACGCGCATCCCCCACGATGGCGGAGTCGGCGGCGACACTGGCAGTGGAGGGCAGAAGAACCACCCTCATGATGAACACCCCAACAAGCGAGGTCAATTGGCAAACGCGCCCAGGGAAGGAGTCGAACAGGGCAGGACTGTGCAGCAAATGCCTGGAACTGGTGTCTTCCTCCCTTGAGACAGCGAGGGTCTGGCGCGCGCGGGTTGACCAAGGTCAGCGCCAACTTGGTTGGGCGCCCAAGTTATCCGGGGTAACTCGGGCCCACGGTAACTCGGGCTCGAAATCCCGAAAAACGAACCCGAGCTAGCCCTGACCCGAGTTACCCACGATGATTCGGGGCTCTGGACGCCCGAGATATCCAGGGTAACTCGGGCCTGGAGTAACTCGGGCTCGGAGTCCCGAAAAACGACCCCGAGCTACCCCTGACCCGAGTTACCCCCGACGATGCGGGGCTCCGGACGTCCAAGTTATCCAGGGCAACTCGGGCCTGGGGTAACTCGGGCTCGGAGTCCCGAAAAACAGACCCGAGCTAGCCCTGACCCGAGCTACCCCCGACGATTCGGGGCTCGTCGGACGCCCGAGTTTTCCGGGGCAACTCGGACCTGGGGTAACTCGGGCTCGGAATCCCGAAAAACGACCGCGAGCCAGCACTGACCCGAGCTACCCCCGATGATTCGGGGCTCCGGACGCCCGAATGATCTGGGGCAACTCGGGCCCGGGGCAACTCGGGTTCGGAATCCCGAAAAACGAACCCGAGCTAGCCCTGACCCGAGCTACCCCCGATGATTCGGGGCTCTGCCTTTGGTCAGCCAGGGCCATGTCGCGAACCCGAGACGGCCGCGAGGCAGCGGAGGAGGAGGAGGAGGAGGAGGAGGAGCATCCGTGGAAACCCAGGAGTCATCAACGATGTTTGAATTGACCCTCCCTCCAAGCTCCCTCTTCATGGGCCCCAACAACGGTTCACTTCCATTGAGGGAACTGCTTCGTTGGAAGACAACCGTTAGAAGACCTTGAAGCATGCCACAACATTGTTCTCTGGATTTCCACGCCACGGATCAACCTGACTGCTGCGTCCTGACGATCTGTCACTGTGCCGGAACACCATGTTTGGGACTTGGAGCTATCAAACATAACAGCTGCCCCACCCTCACCTGCATTATCCATAAACCGGACCGCAACCTACCTCTCTTTGTAGGAGCATCACTGGAAGCATTCCCCTAATATAGGAAAGAGAATCAGATTGTAGAAAACTTCTGTTTCGTGGACTTGTCTGCATTCGCGATGACAGTCGCAGTGGACAACGGCAGTAAGCAGTCACAAGACTCAGCCTCAGCCAGCCTCAGCCTCAGTGCATCAGCTCAGCCTCAGCTTCAGCTCTGCCTCAGCCTCAGCCCTCAGCCTGCTTCAGCTCAGATCATTCTTGCCTTCAGCCTCGGCCTCAGCCACAGCCTGTCAGCTCAGGCCTGCATCAGCGTCAGCCTCAGCCTCAGCCTGCTCAGCATCGCCTGCCTCAGCTCCGCCTCAGCCTGCTCGCTCTGTCTCAGCCTTGTCTCTGCCTCTGCCTCAGCCTGCTTCAGCCTCAGCTTCAGGTCTGCCTCCGCTTCGGCCTCAGCCTCAGCCTGCTCAGGCCTCAGCCTCAGCCTGGCATCAGCCTCAGCCTCAGCCTCAGCCTGCTCTAGCTCAGCCTTCCTCAGCTCAGCCCTCAGCCTGCCTCTCTCAGCCTCAGCCTGCTTCAAGCCCAAAAGCCTCAGTCTGCCTTCTGCCTCGGCTCAGCCTCAGCTGCCTCAGCCTCAGCCTGCCTCTGCCTCAGCCTCAGCTCAGCCTGCCTGAGCATCTCAGACTAGCCTCAGCATCAGCCAGCCTCAGCCTCAGCCTCAGCCTGCCTCTGTCGCCTCAGCCCTGTTCAGCTCAGCCTCAATCTGCCTCAGCTCGGCCTCAGCTCAGCCTGCCTCAGCTCAGCCTGATCGCCTCTGCTAAGATGGGGCAGCTCAGCATAGCCTGCTCAGCTCATCTAGACTTGACGTTGGCAGCGCGCTCAGCCTGCTTCAGCCTCAGCCTCAGTCTGCCTCCAGCCTCGGCCTCAGCCACAGCCTGCCTCAGCCTCAGCCTGCATCAGCCTCAGCCTCAGCCTCAGCCTGCCTCAGCATCAGCCTGCCTCAGCATCAGCCTGCCTCAGCATCAGCCTGCCTCAGCCTCAGCCTCAGCCTGCCTCAGCCTCAGCCTCAGCCTGCTTCAGCCTCAGCTTCAGTCTGCCTTCAGCCTCGGCCTCAGCCTCAGCCTGCCTCAGCCTCAGCCTGCATCAGCCTCAGCCTCAGCCTCAGCCTGCCTCAGCCTCAGCCTGCCTCAGCCTCAGCCTCAGCCTGCCTCAGCCTCAGCCTCAGCCTGCTTCAGCCTCAGCCTCAGTCTGCCTTCTGCCTCGGCCTCAGCCTCAGCCTGCCTCAGCCTTCAGCGCATCGGACTCCACGAAGACGTCGAAGCTAGCACAGCCTGCCTCAGCTCAGCCTGCCTTGCCTCAGCCTCAGCCTGCTTCAGCCTCAGGCCTCAGTCTTGCTTAGCCTCGCCTCAGCCTCAGCCTGCTCAGCCTCGCCTGCCTCACAGCCTCAAACTCAGCCCTCGTTAGCATTAAATGTGGCGGGGACCGGGAATGGAAAAAATTTCTGGGGCAAACTCGAAGAACACGAGTGGCCTACAGTTGGTCCGGGCATTCAAAAAATCATCGCCAGGAATGAGTACTGGGAACTCGAAGACACGAAGTGGCCTTTATACAGTGGCTTCAGGGCTGATAATCCCACCCGGGGAATACAGTTCGGGGTTCCTCAAGCAGCACGAAGTTGGCTTACGTTGCTACGGGCATCCAAAATGTGGCCCGGGGGGGATCGGAGTTCCTGGGAAGTCGAAGAGACGAAGTGGCCTCACGAAGTGGCCTACAGTTGGCTCCGGGCATCCAAAATCTGGCCCGGGAATGGAGTTCTGGGAACTCGATGAGCACGAAGTGGCCTACAGTTGGCTCCGGGCATTCAAAATGTGGCCCGGGAATGGAGTTCTGGGAGGTCGAAGAGCACGAAGTGTGTGACTGTTTGCTGAAAACGAGCCCGGCCCTCGCCTGTCCGGCTCCCGCCCAGACCCCCCTGGGGAGTCATCAGATGCTCTCTTTTGATTTCATTAGAAACCTATCAGTCTTCGCTGTTAGGTAAATACACAATTTCCAATAAGTTGCTCATGGAACCAGTGAAAGCGAGAACCACGTTTTGAAAAAGCACCGCCCTCAATCCGTGAAACTCTTGTAGATGTTGAAAAGGACTGCGCGCGGCGCTCAGGCGAGAGCCACATGTTGAAAACCTCCCGCCCTCAATCCGTGAAGCTCTTGCAAATGTTTACAACGAATGTGCGCGGCGTTAAATCGAGAGCCACACTTTGAAAACGACCCGCCCTCCATCTGTGAAGCTGCTACTTCTTAAGTTTCAGAATCATAAATGGTGAAGAAGTCTCAGGCGAAACGCCCGACCCAACCTAAAAACTGGCCTCGGGTTGCGACAGGGAGAAGTTATTCATCAGGGAAAGGAATGGAGGAGGAGGAGGAGGAGGAGGAGGAGGAGGAGGAGCAGGGGGAGGAAAAGGAGGAAGAGGACAAACAGGAGAAGGAGGAGGAGAAGTAGGACAACGACGATGACCAACATCCAAATCACATCAAATCGAACCACCTCGTGGCGCAGGGGGCTGACCCCGCTGGCGCTGACCCCGTCACGTGGGCCCCGATCATCTTCGGATGGCTTTTGGTCCATGACTCGGGTCTCACACAGCCGTTCGGGTGCGATTCCAGCCTCCCCGGAAGGCTGTCGACCAGGCGCAGCTGATGGAAACCACCCCAGGCCCCAAAGACCTCCGAAAACTTGTGGATATCCTCGACGAGAAGATGTGGCGCCGCCCTCTGTCGCTTGAGCCCCGAAGAGCTCGGCGGAGACGAAGGGGGTGGATGGCCTGGGGGCGGGCACTACACGCATTCGCCAGGGAGCATCGCCGAAAACATCGGCCATCGGTGGCTCTAGACACGCGCAACGGCAACCCCTCTGGGCCATCCGCCCCTGCGGCAGCCGCCGATACGATGCGATGCAGACCACCGCTGCGGCCAGTGGCCGGCCCAGCTCAGACCAGGTGGGCGAGGCCGTGGCCACGCGCCTCTGGCTTGTCTGGATACACACAACGCGAGAGACGCTCAAAGTTGGGAGGAGGAGGGGGAAAAGGGAAGAGGAAAAAAAACGAACGAACGAACGAACGACTCAACAGAGGTGTGCCAGCACGGGTCAACGCCCCACAACGACTACAGAGCGGAGTAATACCCCTCGGAATTACTGGCAGCCACATCTAGAGTGCGCCATGATCCTATCATCAGACAGAACCACGCGTGGCCTCGAGGCACGGTGCCCCCACCCACCCCCTTCCACGGCTGGACGGCCACGTTTTGAAGACGGCAAGCCGAAGGGGCAGGGGTAAAAAGAGTGAGCTGAAAAGTCAAGCCTGCGCAGGCCCCCGACTCACGCGATGGCCCACGAGATGGGGGGCCATCGCGCGAGAAGAGGGGGGCGACCCTAAAACGGGCACGAAAACCCCCCAGGAAGGACATGATTTAAAGCAAACGCACAGGGAGGGCCCCAGGATCCAAAACTATTTACGCCTGGGGGCCAGCCCGAGGAGACTCATTACACTACTGAGAGGGAGGTTCTGACTAGAGGAGGAGGTGGAGGCGGCAGACAGATTCGGCGGCCTAGACGAGGTCATAGAGGAGGGGTCCGCTGAGGTACGGGGGGCGCCCGACGTCGACGGAGTGTGCCTCGTGGCCCTCGTAGGCTGCGCCCTCGGCGCTGCCCTTCTCATCTGCGATCCCGAACTCGGACTCTGTGGAGCGGGGGGCGTGGTAGGAGCTGACGCAGAGCCAATGGCCCGCGCGGCTTCCTCCTCTCTACCCACCGCAGGCAAGCGAGCCGCCACCGACGGCTCGCCAGAAAAAGCTTGCGCTTCACTGCTGGGGCCATGAGAAAAGTAGGCCGTCGCCGTCCGTAGCAAGCACTCCGACAGAGACTGCGTCCTGGATTCTTCCCCGTCGCGCCGTGTAGGAGTCGACCCGATGCCCGGCGCAGGCGCGGCCCCCACCCCCCTTTCCCCAGCAGGCAAGCGAGCTGTCACCGACAGCCTGCCAGAATAAGCTTGCGCTTCACTGCTGGGGCAGAGGGGGAAGTGGGCCGTCTCCCCTTGCTGTAAGTACGTACAGGGAGACTGGATACTGGAAAAGTCTTCTTCGGTCGGTGGCGTGGCCTCCGTCACCCCTCCCTAAGCGGGCAAGCGAGCCGTCGCCGGCAGCTCGCCAGAATAAGCTTTCGCTTCACCGCTGGGCCGAAGGGAGGAGTGGGCATTGGCTTCGTCCTTCTCGCCCGTCAGATTCAGATGCTCTCGAGGGCATCCAGGTGCACCTGTATCACTCGAGCTCCGTGACTCCTGGGTGGGATGCCATGCTTGTGCTTGCCGCCGAGCTGGGCCAGCGCGGCCACCACCGCGTTCTCTAGCTCGGGTGGGTCGACCTCGAGCCACAACTTCACGAACTCTCCCGCGTGCGTCGTCTGCATGCGGCAGTGGTGGGCCTTGTGGGCCAGCAGCGCGTCGCTGGGCTTCTCGTGGTTGACCGTGGCCATGTGCGACTGCAGGGCCTGGAGGTTGAGCTGTCCGATCTTGTCTCCTTGCGCAATGAGCGCCCCAACCAGGGCCAGAAAGACGCGAGGATGAGGAATGCCGAGATCTTCAAGCGCCTGCACTATCTGCCCCGCGGCCAACGCCTGCGCGTTGTCCTTGCGGAGCCTCGCTGCCTCGGTGCCGTAGAACTTCGCCGTCAGCTGCATCGCCTTGATCACGTCGTGCTTGCTCGGCATCTGCACATGCCTGTACGAGGCGGCCTCGAGGTGGTTGATCGAGTGCTCGTGGCGGAGGGCGAGGCGCGCGAGCACGGGGAATGTTGCCTGGATCCACTCCAGTGGCCTGAGGTCTAACCCTTGGACGTCTCTGGGCGCCAGGCCATAGCGGTTGTCCACTAGCTGCATGACGTCTGTAGCGCGGGGGGGCTCCGTTCGTGCCAGTCGCCGCTGGCGTCGCCGACGGGGCCGCGCCTCCCGCTGCGGACGCTGCTGGCGCCCCTCGGCGGCCCTGTCGCCGACCTGGGCCGCCTCTGCCGCGGTCGGCGCTGCGAGTGCGGTCGCCGAACCTGCCCCGAAGCTCTTGCTCTCGCTGTTCGGCCCCAGTACTCAAGGCCGCTCCGCCAAAGTTGACATCGACGCGCAGGTCTGGAGGCGGCGGGGCGTGAACTTCTCGCATGTGATGTTGAAGCGAGGCAAGTGCGGGGAACTCTCCTTGAGCCCGAACGGCTTCCGTGAGTCTCTCTCGATGATGTGAGTGCACGCTGTCGGGGTCCACGCAGACAGGGCCCATCAGGACCTCTGGAACCTTCAGGGCAGGGGGCACGGGCTGAAGTCGGTCAAGCATCTCTTCGGCCTGAGGGACTGGACCACGCGGCGCCTGGCAAGCACCTCCGAAGAGAACGTCGAGGAGCAGAAGAAACACTGGTTCGCCACAATCAACTGATGGGCGGGAACGCGTGCTTCATGGGCAGGGCGACGGCAAAGATGGGCCCCAAGCGCAGCTCTCGCCTGGAATGCCTGGTTGCAGACCCCCCCCCCCCCCCTCCCCCGGGCATCGGGGCACTCGCACGCGTGCCCTTGTTCTGGGGGCTCAGGCACGGGAGGGGCGAGTGCCCCTGGAGCTCGAGGAGGAAGGGGTGGAACGTGAGGCGCTTGATCCCAGTAGGCCCGTCGGAGCCCCTTGGGGCCCACACTGCTGAACGCTGTCGCGACCCGATAGTTCGTGAAGATGTTCCAAATCGAGCGCCCCCCGTCGAGGAAGTGGCGTCCATGCGGGAACACGCGAAGCGTGATGAACTCTTCTTGCATCTGGAGAGCCCAGGGGTTCGCTGTTGGATGAACCCAGCCAGTTTCCAAGAACGCAGGTCGCTCTTGCAGTGCAAAAAAATGCCCAAACAGAGCTGCTGTCACCTGCACACTCGCTTCAGGGTGAAGCGCTAGATTTTGCCAGTAGCGTAACCTGCGGACAAGCAGCTCCGTTCGTGCATCACCGCTGTGCAGCCCCTTCCGCAGCAACCAGGCCTTGGGTGCCCTAGCCTGCCCACGTCCGCCTTCACCTCGCCTGACAGCAACTCCACGAAGGGCAACATTGGCAAACCCCAAGGTAACCTCATCCAGCCTATCATAATCTCTCTTCCCCAGGATGTAGGTCTCGAGGCCCGAGTAGGCCGCGCCATGAATAACGCCCAGGAAGGCCATCCGCTTGAGCTCAAGGGCCGCGCATTGGTTCCAGAACCTCCCCAGCTTGCACCACGCCGCACGAGTCGCATCGATACGGGCCCGAATCTCAGCCCCCCCCCCCCCCCCCTCCCCCGACAACTGCTCGACACCGCCAAGATACACCGCCTGAGCCCGAGGAACACCAGGAAAGCAGGAAATCGCCCCCGAGAGAACGGCCCGAGTAAACGTATAACCTCCAGGACCCACGAAGACTGGGAGAACCACCTCCTTGTCGGCATTCTGAGCGAAACCCCGTTGCTCCCTGAGCTTGCTGGAGAGGAGGCTATTAGAAGCACGCGCAAGCGCAGCAGCACGAAACGGATTGTTATCTGCAATCGGCAGCGCGTGTGAAACATCGTCGGCATAGTCCCTCATGGAGAGGTCGATGTGCTGCCCTGCGGTGGGGCAATCGATGAGCGCGGCAGCCCCAATCAGAGGGGCCTCGGCTTCACTGATCACGATCGTGTCTCGGTTCTCCTGCAAGAGCGTGCGATTCCAATCCTCGAGGGGGCGAACGAACGCCCTGACAAACAGCTCGCCCGCGTTGCCGTCGCCCATGCCCGCGCCGCGCCGAGGGGCGAAGTACGCCTTCTCCTCTCCCACGCGAACCACCATCACCGCCTCGGAGTGACGCTGGAGCAGGAACTTCTGATCCTGCAGGTCGGGGATGATCTCACCAGCTACATCTGCCAGTGCCCCGTGGCTCGTGGACGGGAAGGCATTGCTCATGTCCTTCTGCACCTGCAAGTGCGAGACCCTGAGCTTCTCGAGCCTCCACGAGCGCAGGCGCGAGACGAGCTGAGCCCCTTGTCGAGCCCGTCGCCTGGCGTAACCGTGCGCGTGGCACGGCAGCTCCTGCTTCCGGTGACGGGTGAACACGCCGCGGTACCAGGCCTTTCCGAACGGGCAGAAGCAGTGCATCAATATCATGGCCGTGGTCCCCCTTTTATGATTGCCTTTCGCCAGCTGGAAAGTGCGCGATCAATGCCACCATGCAGGGGCACGACACGACGTTCGGATATGCCTGAGCAGCGCTGTCATCCCCTCAGCGAGTCTAGGACATGGAACATGGGGGAGAGGGCGAGCTTCGACTTCGTCACGTGCGTCGCGCCTCCTGCCATCGTCTCCGCGGGCCTCCGCGCTCGCCGCTCTCATGAGCGCAAGCCATATCTCGTCTGGCGCGAAATGGCCCGGCGCGAACCTCAGCCGAGCTGATCTTTCTAGAGCCAGTAGAGTCCCAGTCCAATCCACGCACGCCGTCGACGAGGGGTGTCCACGTAACTGCTTCCATTCGCCATCAGGGTCCTCTGTCGCACGCAGCTCGAGGGCGAACTCTGCGGGGGTCTCTGGGTCAGGGACGACGACAGCCGAGAATCCGCCATCCCTGGCGTTTGCCTTCATCGTGTCGGTCCACTCCTCGATTGTCGGCAAGTAGTGAGGCAACGTGTTGAAGCGTCGCCTGCGGACTCCGTGGTACTTGGTACCAACTTGATAAGCAAATTTCCACACCGTGCTGGAATGACCCATGTCGGCAGCACGCTGAACTTCTCGAAGCATGCGATCTACGTTCTCACGATCCAGCCGAGCGCGCTCTCGACGAATCTCGCGATCGCACCTCCTCAGTGCTTCGCGATCTTCCTCGGCAAAGACTCGACGACCGAGTGTGCGTCGCTTCTCCAGGAGCTCATCTCTCCTTTGACGATAGGCCTCTGACGGGCCTGACCTGGCATCGGCCTGGCAGGCCTCAAGAGCAGCAGCACGTACGTCAGCGACCAGTGCCTGCCAGAATTATGAGGGATCGTCGGTCTGAGCTGCTCGGCGCCACTCTGCGACTTGCCGTTCACTGCGTCGTTCCAGTTCACCGAGCCACCTTCGGTGAGAATGCTGGCCAGTCGATCGTGGTCCCACCTCAGCTCCTGCTCGGTGTCTGCAGTCTCGAAATGCAACGTGTATCTCAATCTCCACAGCATCGGGCAGTGGTCCTTGGGCTGTGCGTGCGGGATCTTCTGCAGTTCTCATGGCCTCTCGCAGCGCGCAACACGACACAATGGAGGAAATGGCCCCCTCTCGGGGCCCAGAAGTGGTCGGGGTGCGACGTATGCTCTGCTTCTTGGCCGAAATAGGTGGGGCCCGTCGGGTAGAAGGAGTCCACTATCGCAAGGCCCTCCATGGACATGATGCGCCAGAGCTCCTGGCTGGTGTAACTATCCGAGCCTATGTTGTGGTGCCCCACGTGTACCTCATCCGTCGTGTGATGGACCGCGCCTCCCCCCGCAGCTCTCTTCCCAAACTCGCAGTTCGAGTCTGCTCCCAGCACAATGAGGCACCTCGATGGAGCATTCTGGATCGTCTTCTGTATCCACCTCGCGAGCTTAGTGACAGTGGCCTTCCAATGTTATACCTGCTGGCGCTGCGGTGGAGGGAAGTACGCTACCAGAGCGAGTATGTCGAATGACCCACTACGAAGCCGTACTCCTCCAGCTCTCCCTGCCAGCTTTCGGTGGTTCCACAATCTCATGTATGTGGGAACGCCTGACTGCAACCGGGCGGCTTATTCGTGAACTTGCCTTTGCCCCAGCCGAAGTCGAGGACGAGGTGCTTGGCGCTCTGCTGTAACGTAGTTCCATCCCCTGGGCGCCGTCTGCGTTGTGTCGCGGGGCACAAGATAAGGTCTGCAAATCCAAGACGGGACGAAATATCATACGTGCGCCATGAATCTGTCATGGAGAGTGGATTGTAGAGTACGGTTTGCAGCAATGAACCCCGCATGGTGGGTGGGAGCGGGACTGCAGGCGGGGGATGTCCTGCGATTGCCAGAATCAGGGGCCCGCGACCCCCTGGACTGGGCAGAAAGGGGCTAGGAGGAAAAATGAGGAGGAGGAGGAGGAGGAAGAGGAGGAGGAAGAGGAAGTCCTTGGTGTCGGTGTCGGCGCGGGTTGCCAGGTGTCTGCTGCAGCTGCCGAGGAGACGCCGAGAGCGAGTGCCCGGCGCGCGCGGGCGCGCGCGGGCGGCCATGGCGGGCGGGGGCCGCGCTGGGCCGCGTCCTGCCCGGTCGTCGCGGCCGCCCCCGCGGCGGTGTCGTCGGCCTCGGCGGGGTGCGCTGCGCCGCCTCCTTCCCTCGGGAGGGACGAAGAGGAGGAGGAGGAGCAGGAGGAGGAGGAGGAGGAGGAGGAAGACTTGAGGTAATATGGCTCTGGGGCGCCTGAACCCCGTTAGTGGGCCCAGCTTCCTGGCGTCACCACCCTGGAGGGCACGGTGGCCCGACGGAACGAAGTGGCTACGCAGCATAACGGCCTGACGCGAGCGGTGTCTGACCACTGGTTGGGTTGCTGGACTCAGTGAGGAGGAAGAGGGAGGAAGGACGAGGAGGAGAAGGACGAGTGTAAGCCCAGGACGCATCAACGATGTCGCAACGAACTCTCCCTCCAAGTTCCCTCTTCATAGATCCCTACAGGCATGTATCTCCACTGCGGGAAGAGACCTGTTAGCACACAATTCGCTGAGAACCCTCAGTCATACCAAAACACAACTCCTGTGCCTTAAGCGATACAAGACCTTACACTGGTCGTAAACGTTTAGGACGAATATGCACGACGCTGAGGCGAGAACCAAAGCTTGCAAAGCAACCGTCATACATCCTTGAAAGTGTTGCAAGCTGTCAGAACAAGTGTGCGCGGCGCCAAGGCGAGAGCCACATTTTAGAAAAGCCCTGTCCTCCATCCTTGAAACTGTTTCGCGGCACTGAATCGGGGGCCACATCTTTAAAACGATCCCCCTCCATCCAGGAAACTGCTGCACAGTTCAAAGTTCAGTATCATAGATGTTGGAGGCCTGGAAATGAGCACCAACACCAACACGAGGGGTTGCCTCCACAGGGGAAAGATCCTCCTAGATGTCGGTGTTGGTGGTAATACTTCGGTCACCTCGGCAGCCAAAATATGACCACCATCACCGAGACCGGGATCTTCTTCCCTCGGAGGAGGCACACCGCGCGATATTGGTGCTGGTGTTAACCTCTAGGCCTGCGACAATGGCGGGGAAGTCCCGGGCGAAACGCCCAACCAGCTGTCCAAGGGCCTGCCACTCAGGCGAGAGTCCCGCTCCCAATAAACCTCGGCGCGCCACCCTTGCAGACGTGCTGCAGCGGATTTTTGCCTGGATTTCTGTTCATGCAAAACCCCGAAACGGCGAGTCAAAAGCGAAGTGAATTTCGCGTGGAGCCTTTTTGGTCTTCATCCCCGGCCAGAAAAAAAAACGCACGAAAATCACCTCGAAATCTGGAACGGAATTCTCCAGGACACTCCGGGCCCACCCGATCGTTTTCCGAACGAAATACGCTCTGCGATGTTGGCGCCATGATAAATCAAAAAAGGTAGGATCATAAAATTTAACGACGTGCCAAACGAGAGCGACGCTTTGAAAAAACGCCTCCCGTCCGTGACACCGCGCAAACAGCTCGCCTGGCCATATAATACGAGGAAATCCGAAACAACAAACTCATTTTAAAATGAGCCGTGCGGCCGTTACATGTTTTAGTTGAACATGGCTGATTCCAGAGCCCCATTTTCAAAAGGAACGCAATCCCTTGATGAAAATGCTGCAAGGTTTAAGAACAGATGTCCGCAGCGCCACGGCGAGACTCTGAGAGCCACACGTCGAAAACGGAGCGGCATGTATCCTTGAAACTGTTGCGAAAATTGTAAATATAAAAAACGATTGTGCGCGGAGCTTCGGCAAGGGCCGCAAATTGGAAAACGACTGGCCCGTCGTCCCTCAAGTAGTGTCACAGATTGGCTGGCGCGAACGTGCGCGGTGAAATTGCAAGAGCCATAGTTTGAAAACGACTGGCCCTCCATCCTTGAAACTGTTGCAGACTTGTTTGACGAATGTGCCTGGCGCTGGGGCGATAGCCACATTTTGAAGACCATTGGCCCTCCATCCGTCAAAGCTGCCGAAATTCCTCAGACTCAAAATAATGAACTGCAAAGAAGTCTCATGCGAAACGCCGGGTCCAGCCTACGGACACGTCTGACAGGGGGGAACTAGATCTGATCATCAAAATGGGTGGAGAAGGAGGGAGAGGAGGGGGACGAGGGGTTCGTTCGAACTCCGCCCTTGAGAAGGAAGAAGAGAAGGAAAGACGGGGAGGAGGGTTGTGGGAAAACCAGACACTGTCTTCAGCATCGACGCACTGAGGAGGATCGGGGAGGAGAGCGGAAGGAGGAGAGGAGGAAGCGGAGGGGAGGGTCCTTTTCCTCCTCCTCTTCTTCCTCCTCCTCCTCCTCCTCATCCTCCTCCTCCTTCTCCTCCTCCTCCTCCTCCTCCCCCTCCCCTTTCTCATCCATACGCTCCTGCACATGATCTAGCTTCTCTCCTCTCATTCGCAATGGCACCCTTGCCCCAGAACAGGCAACATTTCTGAAGTCAATTGCTTCTTCGTCGATGCCGGCCCACCCCCATCCTCCTCCTCCTCCTCCTTCCCTTCCTCCTGCTCTTCCTCACTGGTCATCCTTCGCCTGCTCCTCCTTCTCGCTCCGCTCGCCCTCCTCCTCGTCCTCTCCTCTTTATCCTTCCCCCTCCTTCACCTCCTCCTCCTCCTCGTCCTCCACCTCCTCCTCCTCCTTCTCCTCCTCCTCTTCTTCCTCCTCCTCCTCTTGCGCGGTCGCGGTTTCGCGTGGCATCGAAATCAAATACGCACAATTATGGAGGGCGGTACCTTTTGGATGATGTGGCTCCAGCATGAGGCTGCACCATCTTTACGACGGTGAAGTTCGAGACGTCCGACGATTGAGCGGGCGGAGGGCGGCTGCGTCTCAAAGCATGGCTCAAGTGCCAGATCTCCTCTCATTTCATGATCCCACAGCTTGAACTTTCGTACGAAGGCGCAGATGGGGGGGTCCATGATCATGCATTTTCGTTCGCCATCCTCCTCCAAGGTATGGCTCCATCCCCCTCCACTTCTTATTCCTTCCTTCACGTCCTCTCTCCGCCTCGCTCGCCCCCCCCCGCGTCATCTTACGGGAACCTTCCGCCCCCGAGACAACGCCCGAGCGTGGCCCCGACGATCCAAGAGGCACCCGGGGGGCACACGCAGCACCCCAGAGGCGCCCCGTAGGGCTCTCGCTCCGGCGCCGCGCACGCGTTTCTCCAACATTCGACTGGCTGCATGGGCAGAGGACGGCTCCCTCTCAAACGCACTGCGATTACAACATTGTGCGAGCAGAACCTGATCTGACGCTTAATGCAGGCGTCAACCAATGTGGGGTCTGTAACCGTGCAGACTCATGGGGCCACCATCACCTTTTCCAGCGCGTGCTGGCCGCACTTGAAAGCGCGTTGCCGTAGTCAGCAAGGGGCCTGAGGCGGTTGCAGCATCAGCGGTGCGTGCTAGGTTTACTCTGGTCCTCCCTCTTATCCTCAGATTATGGCTCCTCCTCCTCCTCCTCCTCCTCCTCCTCATCATCATCATCATCATCATCCTAATCGCCATCATCATCATCATCAACATCATCAGTATCATCATCGGCATCATCATCATGATGATCATCATCATCATCGTCATCAGCATCATCATGTTCATCAACAGCATCATGAACGTCATCATCATCATCATCATCAGCAGAAGCAGCATCATCATCATCATGATCATCTTCATCATCATCATCATGATCATCATCATCGTCATCGTAATCAGCAGCAGCATCAGCATGATCAGCAGCAGCATCAGCAGCATCAGCATTAGCAACATCATCATCAGCATCATCATCAACATTAGCATTAACATCATCATGATCATTAGCATCAGCATCATCATCCTCGTCATCCTCACCATCATCATCATCATCATCGTCATCATCACCATCATCATCATCGTCATCCTTATCACCATCATCATCATCATCGTCATCACCATCATCATCAGCAGCATCATCATCAGCATCCTGATCATTAGCAGCATCAGCATCATCATCAGCATCAGCATCAACTTCATCATCATCGTCAGCAGTAGCATCATGATTGCTGTAATCATAATCATCATCGTCATCATCATCATCATCATCATCATTATCATCAATATCATCATGATCATCGTCATCGTTACCATCCTCATTATCATCGTCATCGTTGTCGTCATCATTAGCATCGTCATCATCATCATGATCATCGTCATTGTCATCGTCATCAGCAGCAGCATCATCAGCAACATCATCCTCAGCAGCACCATCAGCACCATTCTCATCATCATCATGATCATCATCACAATAATCATAAACATCGACATCATCATGATCATCATCACGATCATCATCATCAACATCACCGTCGTCATTATCATGGGCAGCATCATCAGCAGCATCAGCATCATCAGCATCATCATCAGCATCATCACCATCATCAACATCATTGCATCATCATCATCATCACCATCATCATCATCATCATCATGATCACAATCATCATCAACATGGCCATCATCTTCAGTATCATCATCATCATCATCACCATCATCATCATCACCATCATCGTCATCGTCATCATCACAATCGTCATCATCATGATCAGCAGCATCAGCAGCATCGTCATCAGCATCATCATCATCATCATCATCATCCGCATCAGCATCATCAACATCATGATCATCATCGTCACCACCATCATCACCACCATCATGGCCATCGTTATCGCCAGCATCATCATCAGCAGCATCATCATCAGGAGCAGCATCAGCATCAACATCAGCAGCATCATTGCCAGCATCAACATCATCAGCATCCTCATAATCATCATCACCAGCATCATCATCATAATCATCATCATCATGGACATCATCATCATCATCATCAAGAGTGTCGCCATCGTCAGCATCATCATCATCATCAGCATCATCAGCATCGAAATCAGCATCGTCATCATCATCATCATCACCATTATCATCATCGTCATCGTCATAATCGCCATCATCATCATCATCGTCATCATCACGATCATCACCAGCATCATCAACATCATCATCAGTATCATAGTCATCAGCAGCGTCAACATCATCATCAACATCATCAGCATCATAGTCATCAGCAGCAGCATCAGCATCATCATCATCACCATCATGATCGTCGTCATCATCATCATCATCAACATCAGCATCATCTTCAATATCGTCACCATCATCAACAGCATCATCAGCATGATCAGCATCAACGTCATCATCATCATCATCATGATCATCACAAGCATCATCAGCATCATTACCATCATCATCATCAGCGGCAACATCATCAGCAGCATCATCATCACCATCATCATCGCCATCACCATGATCATCGTCATCATCATCATCATCTTGAACATCGTCATTATCATCAGTAGCAGCAGCATCAGCATTATCAGCATCGTCATCATCAGCAGCATCATCATCAGCAGCAGCATCAATACCATCAGCAGCAGCAGCAGCATCGTCGTCATCATCATCGTCATCATTATCATCATCGCCATCATCAGCATCACCATCATCAACATCAACATCAGCATCGTCGTCATCACCATCATCTGGATCATCGTCATCGTCATCATCATCGCCAACATCAGCAGCATCAACATCATCATGATCATCATAATCATAATCAAAATCACCACCATCACCATCAGCATCACTACCATCAACAGCAGCATCATCCTCATCACCATCATCGTGGTCGTCATCATCATCATCATCATGCTCAGCATTATCATCATCAGCAGCATCATCATTATGATTAGAATCAGCATCATCATCATCGTTAGCATCATCATCATCGCAATCAGCATCAGCAGCATCATCATCAGCATTATCACCATCGTTAGCATCATCATCATCATCATCAACAACAGCATCAGCATCACCAACATCAGCATCATCATAATCACAGTCATCATGACCATTGTCATCATTGTCATCATCAGTATCATCAATTGCAGCACCAGCATAATCCTCAACATCCTCATCATCACCACCATCACTACAGCCATCATCATTATCCTCCTCATCAACATCATCAGCAGGAGCAGCGAAATCCTCACCACCATCATCACCCTCGTCCCCCGAGGGGCCTCGGCAGACTGCATGTTCATGAGTTTCTTCTTCTGGCCCCCCTTGTCCTCGCAGCGGCCAGGTCGCGGGGCCACATCGTCATCCTCCCGCTCATCCCCGACCTCATCCACCTCCACTTTCTTAACCTCCACCTCCTCTACTTCCTCCACCTCCTCTACCTCCTCCAACTCCACCTCCGAATTCACCTACCCCTCCTCATCCTCCTCATCCTCCTCCACTGACCCCTCCTCCACCTCCCCCGCCTCCTCCTCCTCCTCCTCCTCCTCGTCTTCGTTCTACCCTTCATCCTCTTCCTCCCCACCCTCAACCCCATCCATCTCTTATCTCCTCCTCATGTTCTTTCCCCTTCTCCTCCTCATCCTCCTCCACCTCCCCCTCCCCCTCCACCTCCTCATTATCCTCCACCTCCTGGTCTTCGGGATTGTAAGTCGTGAAGGCTCGGAGCCATCCTCTCCAGATCTCCGTCGTGATGCGAATCTTTCCACAACTTGGACCCCCGGAGGTCTAGACACCATCCCCAGGAGCCAGGTATTCATCCCGAGTCATTGTGGGCCCCTAGAAGCCGAAAAGGACCAGCGACACCCGTCGTGATGTTTGTGACAGAAGGAAGTGTGGGTTCTGCTCGCCCTCTTCCTGCTCCTCCTCCTCCTCCACATCCTCCTCCTCTTCCTGCTCCTCGTCCTCATCCTCCTCCTCCTGCTCCTCCTCCTCTTCCTCCTCCTCCATTCCTTTTCCTGATAAATAACTGTTCCCGGTCGCACCCCGAGGCCAGTTTCTAGGGCGGGCAGGGCGGTCCGCCTGTGACTTTCTCACCACGCATGACTCTGAGGCTTAAAATTGGCAACAGTGACACAGATGGAGGGCGCACATTCGTTTTAAACATTTGCGAGGGCTTCATGGATAGAGGGCGGGTCGTTTTCAAAGTGGCTCTCGCCCTAGCGCAGCGCACATTCGCTTTAAAATGTGCAAGAGCTTCACGGATTGAGGGCGGGTTCAAAATGTGGCCCTCGCCTTAGCACGGTGCACATTCGTTTTAAACATGTGCCACGAGTTTCACGGATTGAAGGCTGTTCCTTTTCAAAACGTGGCTCTCGCGTTAGCGCCGCGCACATTCGTTTACAAGAATTGCAATAGTTTCGTCCTTCCTCCTCCTCCTCCTCCTCCTCCTCCTCATCCTCCCCCGTCGCCTCCCCCAGAGAAACAAAAACCCAAGAACACCCAGAACCATCTGGAACGCCAGCGAACCACTAGAATACGTGCAGTCCCCCAGGGGCTCTCTTAAACATGCGTCCTCTTCACATGGCTCTCCGCTGCCTCCTCGTCAATCGTACCATGAAAACATGTCCCCCATCGGTCTGACTCTTAGATCAAAATGCGCCACCGTGCCTTGAAAACGTAAACAAGTACCACAGAGGCTCATACACAGTGTGCTAAAACACATGCATCGAGTCTTCTGCCCGCGCCATCAAGCTGCCGGAATATCTAGAGGTTCTTGGGCGCTTCAGGGACTTGCTGCATGGGCCTCCAGGATGTGACTACCTACCAGCCCACCCCTGCCCAACCCGAGGACCCGAATTTCGGATTGGTGGGGGTACGAGCTTCATAAGTGTTTCTTCCATGTTCCCCGACCCCCACCCCACTGAAAATGGAGGGCACATCGGGGCCTTCGGGTTAGGTTGGGGTGGCTTGGTGGGCGGTGAGGAAGCCAAACCCGCCCACACAGACCCCAACGCTCCCACAGAGCACTCCGAGAAACGCTCAAAGGTTTGGGAGCCCCCGGGGGGTCTCTTGCGGGGCCTCGTGGGCCGTCTTGGAGGCCACGGGGGCCGGCCCACGTGGCCAAGTCCTTGTCGAAACCAACATGTAGAGAAACAGTGATATAGATAATAACGATAACCATGATAACAATGGTAATACAGATAACAACGATAACGAGAACAACGATCACGACGATAAGGCAACAACGGTAACAACGATAACAACGACAAGAGAGAAAGAGAGAGAGAGAGAGAAAAAAGAGAGGTATTGAGAGAGAGAGAGAGACAACCGTGCACGTCAAAAGTGCGTGAGCACGGTGAAGAAAGCCGCTACAGTACAGATCCAGCGGCTCCACTGCGAGGCAAGGGCGAAAACTGCGACGACCAACTTCGTTAGCCCGCGGGCGCCAAGGTGGTAAAAAAGACAGCCTGGCGCCGGTCCGCAGGCGGTGGGGTGCACCAGAGGCGAACTGAGGCACGCAGGCAAAAAAAGAGGGAAAAATAGGGAGGAGCACCGACAACGTCGGATTGTGGCCTCGAGCCGAGCTGGGCCCATCGGAGCCGCAACGCTGCGCCTCCCCCTCTTCCTCCTGCCTGTCCTCCTCCTCCTCCTCCTCCGAGCAATCCTCAAAGCACAAACCTCGAAACGTCGGAGGCCCGCGCGGACCTCCGGGCACTCGGCGCCGAGGTTCACCCCCCTCTCCCCCTGGCCCTGGGCGCAGCGCGCCTCCCAGGGGGAGACGGGTGCCGCAGGCGCGCCGCCCATGATGGCACCCCGCGCCGAGCCAAGAGATCGGCGCGGACCTCCGATAGTCTGTGGTTCTGCTTGGGTCGGGCGCGTCCCCCCTGCAGGGGGATGTTGGACGAAACATGACAAAGATACTCAGAACACACATTCAAGAACGATCGGCGCGGACCTCCGACAGTCTGTGGTTCTGCTTGGGTCGGGCGCGTTCCCCCCTACAGTGCGGGCGCGGTCGCAAGAAGCCCTCGCAAGAAACCCAACCCTGCGAACCCGTGTGCGAAGTGCACCTCAAGGGAAACCCGGAGCACCCTGGACGCAGCAGCTCCTTCAACGGCTGCGGGAAGTCACCGCGCAGCGCGAGGAGCGAAGAAACCCAGGACACCCTGACGAAAAGCATATGGCTTCTTGATGCGCGCCCCTACTGTACAGGGGGTCGTTGGACAAAACATAGAAGATACTCAAAAAACAGATTCAAGAAAGATAGGCGCGGACCTCTGGCAGGCTGTGTTTACCCTGGGTCGCTGAATAATCGCCCTCCCCCCCTTGGAGTGCCTGGGGGGGGGGGTTGGTCCCGGCGCGTCCGCGGGGGGGCCAGAGAGGGTCTGGGGTTCGTTCCCTTCCCCGCTGGGGCGCGGGGGTGGTGCCGGGGGGGGTTTTTCCGCGCCGCGTTTTCACGCTTGTCACCCCCCGGGTTGGTAAATAAGAAGTTCGGAGTATGCTGAGATCGGGCGTGTCCCCCTACAAGGGGATTGGACGAAAAATAAAGAAAGCTCAAATAGATTCAAACAATTCCTAAAAAAATGCCCCCAACCAAAAACCAGGCTATCTCAGTGTGGGCGCAAAACCGGGCCGGTAATTGATTGCACCACTTGGGGTCAATTGGAACACTTGAACTCGCGGAGGCAAAAAGGGAAGGATGGGCCGGTAATCGTTTGCACCAGTTGGGGCCAGTTGGGTCAGTTGGACCAGTTGGGGTCTATTGGGGTCAATTCGGGTCAATTGCACGAGTTGGGGGCCGGCCAGGCGGGGCGAACATCTGGCCACGGGGCACTGAATGACTCCAGCCGGCCACAGTGGCCCAACTGACCCATCTGTCTCAACGGACCCAACTGGCCCAACTGACCCAACTGGCCCAACTGACCCAACTGGCCCAACTGACCCAATTGGCCCAACTGACCCAACTGACCCAGCTGACCCAACTGACCCAGCTGACCCAACTGACCCAACTGGCCCAACTGACCCAAGGGCCCCCCTCCTCATCCTCCTCCTCCTCCTCCTCCTCCTCCTCCCCCGCCTCCTTCTCCAGGCAAGCCGAACCGGCGCGCGGGCCGGCGCGCGGGCCGTCTGAGCTGGGGCCGACCTCCTTCTCCTCCTCCTCTTCCTCCTCCTTCTCCTCGTCTTCCTCCTCCTCCTCCTCCCCCCTCTTCCTCCTCCTCCTCTCCTCCTCCTCCTCCCCCCCTGTAAACGTCATCTCATACCGCCTCCTCCTACTCCTCCTCTCCTCCTCCTCCTCTCCTCTACCTTCCCCCCTGCTTTTCTTCCTCCATCCTCCTCCTCCTCTCCTCCTCCTCACCCCCTCTTCTCCTCATCATCGTCATTCTCATCCTCCTCACCCACCTCCTCCCCCAGCTCTCCGCCCCCCCCCCCCCGCCGAACAGGCGCGCGGGGGCGGGCGGCTACGGCGGCGGCGACGACCTAGGCTAACACCGCAGGCTGTTACTACAAGATAATACCACAAGCGCTCGGCGGAGCCAGGCCTGTAGGTCAACACAACAAGCAAATACCACAAGCTCGGTGTCATACCACAGGCTATGGATACCTCAAGCTCACCAGAATACCGCCAACGAAAAAAACACTGAAACACTGGCTAAAGCCACCTGCTCATGTCGCCCTGCGGAACCAGGCCCGCAGGCCAATACAACCGACTTGGGTGGAATATCTCAGGCTGGTACCGCGGGCGAATACCACGAATGCCATAGGCGCTAGGCGGAGCCACGCCCGTAGGCTCATACGACACGCTTTTGTTCCAAGCTCGGCGGAATACCACAGGCTATTACCACGGGCTAATTACAACTCCGCGACATCCGACCCGCGGGCTACCACCACAAGCTCGGCTAATACCCTTGGCGGGCACTTTCTTGGCAGGGGGGTGAGGACGACGACGAGGCAGACGACGACGACAACGACGACGACGACGACGACGACGACGAGCCCCGGGATATCCCCCCTGGGTCCCGGGACCCCCCCCCCGCGGCCCCTCGACCCCCCCCCGCGGTCCCTCGACCCCCTGGAACGACGACGTCGACGACGACGACGACGGGTTCCGGGGCCCCCCGGCTCCCAGGGCGACGACGACGACGAGGAGCACGGCGCCGCCGGCGACGACGACGACGACGACGATTTTGTTTTGCCCGCGAGCAATCCAGCTGTCATGAGACGGGCGCAGAGAGCGACCGAGCAGTGCACGGCGACAGCGCGGCCGTGAAAACACTGCGTGCAGGGAGACCTGCACAGCATCAAAACGCAGGGGGTTTTGACGCAGGGC